GGTGTAGGGCTAAAAAGAGGAATGGAAAAGAGCATGGAAACTATAATATTCTAGTAGGGCATATATATAGGGGTTATCTAGGGCCTTTTGTTGTGAAACGCCTGTTAAGGTCCGTTCTGCAAACGAGACCCTTAAAAGGCAGTCAAGGAATTCCCGCTGTAAGACACATGTCAGGGGTGGCCTCCCTTCCCTACAAAAGCCGCTGAGTCTATGAGAACGTCCCAATGTAGGGGTTTTGGATTTAGTGCTCGGGGTGGGAAATTCTCAAAATCACGCAAACAGCATAGGTATCTCCCCAGTCTCATTTCTGCTTCCCATGTTTTTATTGGGGTCCCTAGGGTCCGTCCATGGGCCCTGATATGGCTCCTACCTAGGTCCTAACTACGGGCCCTTAGTTTGGCGCATGCGGCTTTTTGGCTATATAGTAGGTGTATCAGAATTCCAGGGCCAAGGGCCCATACTACCTGCCACAATGCGGATGCAGGAAAATCTTGCAGTACCCTATTTACCAAGTATCCCAGGAATTACGATGTATGGGGGGTTCTAGATGGTGCGAGATTTTCCTTCATTCACTAAGGGCCCAACCTTGAACTTAAACCAGAGGGGCACACCCTGCTTCTGTGCAGATGGGCCGGAAGCGTTGGCACAGCGGCTCTACCAGGTTGGGCTTCGTTGAGGGAGGGATGGGAAGAAGGGAGAGAAGTAAAAGAAGAGAGGGTAAGGGAATGAGAAGGGAGGGAGAAAATCTTCTAATTTACATGGAGGAGAGGTGGAGCGAATATGATGAAGAGAAAGGCTGCAAAGAGTAAACGATTCCCTGCAGCAGAGCTGTTGTTGGGACCAGCAAGGGAATTGGGTGGTTATCTCTTTTACGGTAAGCATGGATGCCTTTACCAAACAGGGTGCTTAGGGGGTTGCGGGTGCAGCCCCCGCAATTTGCAAGCAAAACGATCTGCACAACCTTCCCTTACTACAAAAATGGCAACGACTTGATGCTTGTTGTTTTGTTGTTTCCTTTCCTCCTTCCTTCCCTCCTTCCTTCCCTCCTTCCTTCCCTCCTTCCTTCCCTGCTTCCTTGTTTCCTCGCGTCCTTGCGTCCCTCCTTGCTTCCTTACTTCCTTCCTTCCTTCCGTCCTTCCACCTTTTCTCATCCTCTTGCCTCCTGTCTAATTATATGTCAAACGACCAGGTTTTTTTGATCCGGACTTTGATAGGCATCGCCATCATACTTCTGGTGGGGTGGGGTGGTGCAGTCACAAAGCAGCGTAACCGCATGCTGCCCAAGACCGCAATGATGTCCTTATCCGAAGCCCGGCGAATCATGTACTAATTGGTGGCTGCATACTTGAAAAATTTGCTAGCCCAAGTAAAGAAAACAACATGGTGGTTTTCGAAAATGGGGGGATCTCTCCTGGGTGGTCCCTACGTAAGATTTGTAAATCAGTACCATGTGGAACTTCAACATCAAGACATAAATGCGGAGTTGAATTCCAATTGTGGCCCGTGATTGATTAAGTAGCTGAATTCATCACTTCAACCAAGCCCTGCAACACATTTAGGCCGCTTTTGCATAGGGTGACCCAGGATGTTGTCCCAATACGTCGATTGAAGCAATGGCTAGTTCCGACTGGGCATGGCTCGTGCAAACATTGAAGGCTTTGAAGCTGCTCTGGCATTGTTGTGTTTTCCGAGTTGGACGGGTGCGCAACATGGCCTGTGGCGGGGCTGGACGGGCTTCCGTGTGTTTCATCACGACTGCGCATGGTTGAAAGGGTTTTCTGATTCATCTTTGAGGGTTAGTTATTGAAATGTTTTTCTGCATAGCCCATCGGCCGTATTCTGAAAAAGCATACACCGCTAGCTGTTGTAAAAAAACGTTTGCAGTAGTTTTACCATAGAACCGATTTCACCACATTGGCCTTTGAGGCAAATGGCGTGGGATCTACGTTTCAAACTACTGCCCATGGAGACTCGGGATTTGTAAACGACTGTCTCATTGTGACTTCTTCACGAATGGACATTGCCGGCCGCTGGCGATCTCATGTAGCATAGACCGTGTCGGTAACATTCAGAAGTTACAAGAGAAAGCAAAAGTGGGAACCCCATTGGTCATCAGGATGCAATCCATAAGCATTTGATATATAGTATAGGCAGTATGTTCCCCGAGAAGGTACCCTGAAATCCTACGTTCCAACTCGAGGTTCCAACCGAAAGCTGTTTGATGACACATATCTTGCGATTCCAACTCAGGTTTGCAGGGTGAAGCCAATGAAAACCAGATCCAGGAATTCGGATTCAAACTTATAAGATCTAGCAGGCTTATCCGAGACTCCTAAAACCTGAAAAACACACCTTGCATGTCGCATTGAGGTTTATAGGCGTTCTATAGGCCGGAGAAGGGGTACCCTTTTGCATCCAGGTCTCTGTTCGTCAGCCGGGTGTTGCAAGCACTCGCATTGAAAAGGTTACCCTAATGCCGTAAACCCTTAGCCATATCCTGGATGTAGGGTTGGGGCTTACAAGCTTCTGCGTCGCAAATATTTTCAGCTCGAAAAAATGAAACTTACGTTCAGGGAAAGCAAGGTCTTTATGCCCCGAAGCCTGGAAGGGCCTAGAAATCCCTGGCAGCCGCAACAAGTTCAGCATCTCCAAGCCTAAACAGAACAACCATCGAATGTGTCACGCCCATATGCTGCGAGTTCCACGCCTGCAAACCAGAAACTCTGCATGTTTTGAAGTCTACTTGTCAAACATACAACTGCGCTCTGGCTGTTGCGAACATCAGGTTCGGCAACCCGTACGGCGGTAATAGTTTCAGTGTCGCATACTATCACAGAATCAGCAATGGCGGTAGTGCCTGTCAGTCACCCGGAAAAATGTTGTCCTCGTTGTTATGGTTATTACCCTTCATGAATGTTCGATATCCACAACTACCGGTGTCATAACACGAGATCTGCATTGCTCATGATACGAGGGACCAAGCATTTGTCGATTTCGAAAGAGCTTGAATACTGGTTTGCCGCTGCCTTCCAAGGGCAATCTTTGTTATGATGTCTTGCACAACCCCTCTCAACCTGATTCTGCCAGTGATCTGCACCATGATGTGGGAAACCATTTCTTGTGACTGCGCGTGCGCTCATTGCGCGTGGAAATTGTGATCTGATTCAATCGATTAAATTGAAAACGGATCCAGTATCAACGTCTGGCAAACCCGAAAATGTTTGTTCACATGTGTTTATCAGCAAAATTCCGCGTTGCTCAGTCCACTTAATTGGGCATTTTTGCCCTTCCAGCTCTGTGCTGACGATGATTCATGTACAAAGGCATGGTCATAACATTTGGACATATTTTACCTTGTGCTATGTTTGCAGGTTGCTTGGCCCCTGATAAGCGCGCACGCAAGCCCACATCGGGATTGAAATACCACTGCAGAAAACGTGAGTTGTGCATCAACACGAGAAGCAAGGCCGAAGAAAAATATTGAAGGCACACGTTTCGAATTATGGATGTTTGGTCTTATCATGGTACATACCTTCTGCTAATGAACGCTGCAAAGTGACTAGCATGAATCCAAACGCACTGCCGACGTTGCCATTGCGTCACTTTTTATGTCTGCCCCGCCCCCCCCCCCACCAACAAGAAAATAAAACATTAAGAATAACAAACGCATAATAAGGCGAATGCTTAGTCCATTGAAAGTTAGCATGCCTGAACAGAGGATATTCACGAACCGATGTCTTTGATCCCAATGTTACCTCCTTGTTTGCTGAGTTGGCTGTGTACGCTGGCTCCCGACCGTCGGCATATCCACAAGGATCCTAAGTTCCTATGTTGGGCATTAATCTTGTGGGACACCGCTGTCAGTTGCTCTTATGCACTTACCTGCTTTGAGGCTGACATAGCCAACTGTGCAACCGAGCTTGGCCACAGGCGGGCCGCCATGACTGGCTTTGCATAATCCTTTTTCGCATCTGGCCGAGACTCTCCACTCAGCCTGGCGGCTACCTGCCCCTGCAGCTCGCTGGGGCCTTGCTAGAGCCACCTGCCCACTAAAGCCTGCATGTTGCCATCTCTTGGCACTACCATAGCAGTGGAACTGGATGCACATCTCCGCGCCGGCAGTCGTCTAAGTCCAAAAAGCTGGATCATCTCAGCATCGCGAAAACTCAGCGGCACCTTCCTGTCGATGTCAATATGGCCCAGGCCTTTCGTCAAAGTTCAGCTGAAGTGGCAACAAAATAACATTCAAGTTCATGGCCTCTGCATCTGCGGCTGTTGGAACGCACCATAAGCTGCCTTCACAACATGAGAAGTATACACCAAACACAATTAGGCAAGTGATAAGCTCAAGCTTGTCGCCTGATCCATTGGCGGCTGACCACCTTCCACTGTAATCTCATGGTGCATTTATTGATTCTTTCTGGATGCTTGGTCATCAACTTGCATAGCGCTAATTGGAAATCGCAGGCAGGTGGGGGGATTGCGAAGTTCAAGTAAGCCCAGTACCATAGCTTGCAAAGCCCAGACCTGCACCTGCATGAAGCAAACTGGCAGCATTGGCTAGTCCATTGCAACTTTTGCAGAGTGGCCTTGTGGCTGTTGCGGCTGATTTGCTTGGAAGTGCCCCTGAGCGACATCGCGTTTTCTTAGTGCCAAGTCCCAGTAATCAGCATTGCCAAAGTGCTCATGCCAGCGATCATGTCTGTAACGCGGCGGGTTTGTCCCGTGAGGAACATTTGAGCTTCAACGAACTAACCTTCAGCGAGTGTCAGAGCACCTGCCGGCTTTGCCGCAGGAGCCCCTCACTTGTAGCGATGCACCATGATCTGTAAGCCCAGGGCTGCCGGCAGCTGAGCCAATCTCTTTCAGAGATGTGCCGCCATGCCCGAAACATTATCAAATCACGTCAAGCCGGGCTGCGCGCAGCAGAGGCTTGCCAAGCGGCTTGCTTTCTTGAAGCAACGAAACTTTCTATCACTAGGCCGTCCTCTGCAAGACAATCAGACAGGTTGTATGCTTTGCCTTGTGGTCGGAGCGAGGTTGTTCGGTCCCATTTTTTCACGTTCCTCTGCAAACCATGACGGCTTCCCGTATGCTCCTCGAAACTTCACCTGTGACAAGTCAGTGGTCAACCCCCACTGACCAAGGCAAATGCAGGAAGTAGGGCGCAACACTGTGCGGTTCTACCTGTCTGAGCGTTGCAGAGTTGTGGGGCTGCCAAAGGACACCCAGCCTTGAAAGCATCATCGTAATCCTGGCTGCCAGAGAAGTCCAGGTCACGACCAAACACAACAGAGTCCACCACGGATTGTAGCAGTGGGGCGTGGAATTTCTCCCTGGCGCAGTGCTTCAAAGAGGCACAATGTAGAATCAATCACTAACTGCAGTGTGCGAGGCCTGCCGCGATCCATTAGAAGTTGGCCCCGCGGCCGGCTTGCCGTCAAGCACCCATCCTTGGCTCATTTCTGGTGTCCTCTGTTTTCAAGTTCTTGGAAGATCTGCAACTGCAGGCCAGACACACGAGTGATACGCATTCGCTCATCTGGAAGGCCAACAACTTCTGCACCCCATCGAGTCTCGGCAATTGCTCGCCTGCAAGCGTTGATTGCTCGCAAATGCCCTTGCATCCACGAAACCGGTTGCTAGCCAAATCACCGAAACTGGCCGTGTTTGTACAGCCTTGGCTGGAACGCAATCTTCTAATCCTACGAAAGTCTGGCTGATACGATTAGCTAAGGGCTTAAGTAACTCCTAGCTCAATTTGAAACGTACAGTATACACGCGTGCGGGACAAGCAGCGGCAGCCTCTCCGTCTCTAGGCTCGGCGGGCGTGACGCCCAGGTGTTGCTGACAAGCCGCTGCCTCAAGATGTAATTGTCCTCAGAGCCGTGCACAATCAGGCACCGCTGTCAGCAGCAGGCCCGCGCTTGCAAGCGAGAAACATGTAAGTTGCCACAGCCCAAAGGAGCTGCAAGGGCTGCTCTCAGCGGCCCTGCAGATGCCTGTAACCAGGAGCTGCTGGAGGCATTCAAAAATCCTCAGAAAAGAAGAGTTGGCCACTCACATTGCTTGATTTCTCCAAGTCTCTGTGCAGCTGAGGATCTTTTAGGAGAGCCTGTCTCATTGGCACCCTCCAAGTCCACGGGGGCCAGCTCACAGTCTAAAGATTTCGAAATGTCAAGGTCGCGTGACTGAGAAATGTCTCTGCTTGTTAAGCATTTTGAGGCCCCGCGGGCCCCGCCTTCGTCAGCAATGAACTCGCCGTCAAACTTCAGCGTACGCTTTGACCAGTCTGTTGTAGTACTTGTGGAAACATCCATTTGCAGCCTGAGTGGCGCAGTAGTGACAGCTTCCAAATCCAGGGTGGGAAACAGGTCAGCAGCTAGCAGCAATGTAGAATCGAGCACTTTGAAAGTGAACCCCCCCAGCTATCAGAAGTGATCAAAGCAACTCTGCGGGTACTTTCCAGGTGTCGATGAGCTCCTCTTTTCCCTGGCTGCGAGCCTTCCTCTCTGCTTGCTTGAGCGACTTCTTCAGCCTGGAGTTTATCATTCTGACAGGGCTGGGCCTCCTTTGACTCAACACTCGCGGAACAAGGTCGGACTGGCGCAGCCAAGGCGCTCTGCCAGGCTGATGCTGCCACTGCCATCTATATCAAGCGTCGAAAATAGGTCACGCCGCTCGGATTCTGACAGCTTTCCCACGCCGAGTCTGCGGACGGAAGGCTACATTGACGAAATACTGCTACTAGCTGCAGCTGCTACTCTGCAGATATGCTGAACAAGCTCTTGCAAAGCAGTGCCACCTCTCTAAACCGTTGCAGAGTTCCTCTCTGGACACTGACCCATCCCCACCAAGATCCAGGAACCTGCGCAAATGTTTCGCCACGGCGGCACAGCCATTGCTGACAGACATCTATGTTTCCTGCAAATTTTGCAGCCAGGCTGCTTGAAGACATCCATGGATCGGACCTTCCTGCACCGCTTAAAAAAAACACACACACACACACACACCTACTCTGAACAATCTCCCTGTCTTGGTCCTGCGATTCAGCATGCCCTGGATTTTTACCAGCACGAAGTCACTGTCTGACAAGGGAGACAACTCTGCCGGCTTGCGGCGGTTGCTCGCCATGCGTCCTTACACTGCAGCATGCATTGTTCGCAAAGCGGCTCAAACATCCATTTGCCACGCAAACCTTTGGACTGACTTGTCTTGCTCTGGGCATCTTTCACGGGCAGTCACTGCCCCGTGTCTGTCGTTACCTTCAGGGACTCGTAGAAAAAGAATCCTTACAGCCGTGCTTGCTACCCGCATGTTGCTGATGCCTGCCAACCAGTCAGGCGTGGACAGCTTGGAGGTGTTGGCAGACGAGACCTGGCCACGAAACAGAACTAGCGCTTCCAACAATGACCTCTCCTGTCCAGAACTGACCAAACTCTATGCCACTTGCATTGCCAATAAAGCTCGCAAGGTTCAGCACCGGGAGTCCAAGCCCAGACCCGAAAACCTTGACCGCTGACCAAACTCTGCAAACCAGGATAGACCGCACAAAAAGCTGAGTCAGTTTGTAAACACATGGGGATGCTAGTTTCTTAATGCACCCCAACAACGCCTCCAAATGCACTTGGCCAGAAGCACTAAAGCTAAAGCTTGTAGCTCACGAGGTACTAGAAAAATTCAGTGCATTGCTCAACTGATCCACAAACAGCCCCCGAGCACGCAAATCTCAACCAAAACCCCGCCCCCACGCCACCGGAAAAACTGCCCAGTAACCTAGTAAAACCTTGAAAGAACACTGCAACTACGGGCACCAAACACCTGTTGAACCTGTTCCAAAGACCCCAACTAAAAATTCAATGTACCTCCGAGCATCAAACCCTAGGAGGGATCCACCAGGTCCATCCGAGCAGGCGCCCGATATGCCGTCCATGGTACTGATGTTTTGGGTGAGCTGCTGGAGACTCTCTAAAACCAGCACAGCGTTGGCGGAAGCTTCCAGGACAAGTCACATCAAATTTTCGTTCGCAATCCTTACATGATTCTTACCTCAGCTACGCAATTCCACTTCTACTTATTCAGGTGTATTGCAATTGGGTTGACATCATGAATTAAATTATAGATGCTGCATAGTTGGACTGGCAGTGAAGTAAGGGTTCTGCTGGAAGATAGATGACGGCAGATGATTGTAGATTCCAGCACAGCGTGGGTGGAAGCTTCAAAAACACGCACAAGCACCAGCCTGTGAGCGGGTGGGGGGGAACCAAAATGCTGCCCGTGGTAGTGTTTCCGGTGAGCTGCTGGAGACCCCATAAAACCGCGCAAAGTTTAAAACAACACAAACACCGGCCTCTACTGAGCGTGCGGCGAAGCTTCAAAAACATGCACGAAAACCGGCCCGTGTCCAATGACCCCTGGGGAACAATGATGCTGATGATGCTGGGCCCTGCTGGAGACCCCATGAAGCGTCTATGTCCAATGACCCCTGCAAAAGGACAGAGGTGCGATGATGCTGATGATGCTGGGTCGTCCCCCACGACATGCGCAGGCCCCCCGCCCACACCCCCCACAAGATGCCGTTTATGATGGCTTCGCTCGCTATTCAGCTGCTTTCCATCATCTGTCCGACAGCACAAGGCTGTACACCACGACCATCCAAAACCCTTACAGTACCTGCTGATGGCGCAGGCCTCGGCAGGAGTTCCCAAGCTTCCCAAGCTTGGGAGGTGAGGGGCCATGCGCCTCATCAATGTCAGTGCACGGATCCCTGGAGACTATCTGAGAAAACAAGCTATGTCTGAAACCTGACACTGACACATGCCCACCAAGCTGCTCTTCTGCAGTCGCGCTCTGCTTGCTTCTGTGCCGCTGTTTGGTTCCGGTGCGGGTCAATCTTCGCTCCAGATTTGAAAGCAAGACATTACCAGCCGCATCCTGGTGAGAGCTGGGTCTTGTCAAGTCACCAGAGGACTTGGGTTGGCTTACTTTCGTCTGTCCTTGTCAACCTTTTCGTACACAGCCAGGAACTGCTCATTGCTCAGCTGGAAGCCGAGCTTTACCAGGCCAGCCCGGAAGTCAGCTTCACTGACAGAGTCGCTTACCTCACAGCACGTGTCACTTGCAGATGCTCCAGCTTATCTCATCGCTTGTCCAATGATTTCACGAAAAGCTAAGCCTTGTCTGCTCCGAAAGGCCGGAGAAGATCTGCTGCACCTGGTGGAAGAGGCCCCAGCCACAGTAGCAAAGCTGCACATTCGTTAGCCAGGGCCATGCATAGGATGCCAAGGCTCTGATTTGAGTTCTGTGCAGCGTCTCCCGTAAGCTCTGAAGAACAGAATCTGCGGAGGAAGCCTGCGACAGCTACATGGCTCCACCAAATTCTACGTGCGCATGAACATCTTGTGCTGCCAAGACTCGCTGAGTTCCGAAACTGGGGACATTAGTGCGGCCCTTGTCAACGGGAAGGCAGATCAGGCATGATGGACCTTGTAGCCATGGCCCGGCAGAGATCAGTCCGTGAGCACTGATGGCAGCAGTGAGTCGCCAAATCCAACAGATGAAAACCTGTTCCTGAAGAGCCATCACATGAAACAGAACGGGCTGGGGATGCTCAGGGTAGCACCATGCCGTCCGGCATTGGCTGGAAACCATTTGCTGGCATGAAGCCGCCCTGCAGGCCACATCCTCCCTGCGCTTGCGCAAAGGCCGCAGGGGAGTCCCCAAAGGGTGCAAAGCCAGGCGCTCCAAAGCTTTGTTGGTTTGCGCAGCCGGCTTGTGGACAACCATTTTGCCGGTGGAATCCCTGCATTGACGCATAACCGTCACCTGCAGGTGCAAAGCCACCAAAAGTGTTGGCTTGCGGGGCGGGCATCTGACCATCCGGAAAACCTGGGCATTTCGATCCACCACCCTGAACACAACTCAAAGCTCAGGATTGCATCAATCATGGATCCGAGTGTTCAGCTAAAGCTGCATCCGCTGCATCCGCTGCACCCTCAGCATAGGCCGCCATATATCATGCCTAGCATGCGGAGCCCTGCACACAATGCCTCCGCAGCCGCCATAGTGGCCACCAGGGTCACCTGCAGTTGCAGAGGAGCAAACCCCGGGAAAAAGAGCCAAAGGGAGCCCAAGCGAGCCCAGGCCACTCCAATTGAGAACATAAATGTTAGCATATTGTAGTATATTGGGGTTTATATAGGTGTTATATACAGATAATGGGAAAGAAAATGGAAACTACTGTAATGGGGTTATACAGGGGTTAGGTTCCTATGTGTTCCTCCCACGCCGCTGCTCTCCATGCAGCTACATGAAGGGGGGGCTGCTGTTTGTTGCTGCATCATTCTGAACCTCTCCTGCCCTGTGGTACCAGCAGGACGATTTAGGTTCAGGGCTTGCGGTAAGCAATTGACAATGTGCTCCATCATAACATGACACACGTATCTGTTTGGAACGGCCTGTGAATCTCAAAGGGCAGACAAGGCATCAAGAAGTATGTTGTTTTTCGAGAGGCGAGGGGCAACCACCACAGGGACCGCAGGCACCACCGAACGAGTTGCAGCCACCACCTTGTTGCTACAAAGATGAAAAAACTGTCGATGACTTGTTGCTCGACCGCAAATAACACCAACTGACTCCCGCACCGCAGCCGCCAAAGCTACCCTTGCCTCCTCTCAAAGGACGGAATCATGACAGCACAGGAGCACCGTCCAGACTTTCTTCCCCTTGCCTCCTTTGGACCCCTGCCTCAGCAGCAAGGCCACACACATTGAGGCACCACATGTTGCAGACGCGCGTAGAGTTGCACCGGATGAGAGCTCATAAGTGCAATGCTGAGGTCTGTCGAATGCCGGGGCAGCAATCAGCACAAGGCCAGGCCTTGCTGACAAGCAGGGCAACAAGAAATAGAATATGTGAAACATGTACGAGGCTGGGCGTCACACTTCACCTCATGCTGCTGGCTGGCTACAACTGATGAGGCCTGAAACAGATCAGCTTACAAGCTCTGCCCAAAAACCCATTTTAGGCGTGGTGGCAAATGCCACTCGCCACTGAGCCAGATGCTGTGCTAGGATCTTTGAAGCTGACAAAGGCTATACCTTTGTTCCCAGGCGGGACCTGAGCTAGCAGGACATACGCAACAAAGCAGTCCATGCCGGTAGCCCGGGCGCAGACGTAGCAGTCTGACAGTTCGCCATATCTGCTGAAGTATGCCTGCCCCGGACAAAATATATCGTCAGCTCTCGCTCCCCCTGCCGCATGTCATCATCTCAAGCTAGAACAATCCGCTGAGTCCATATTTGTCGCTGCAGAGACACCAGGACCTACAACAGTTTCTGTTTCGAGAACTTTGTCATCGATAGACAGATGGTCATGTCCGCGAAAAGCTCGCAAACGGCCGATTCAGCTGTCACAGTTTGCTCTGGTGCTTCGCATTGATCTCCTCCTGCACGCTTGCATGCGTCGAGCCCCAAACAAGAATCCAGGGCTCAGTCTTGTCTATGACATGCCGCCCCTTTTGCCTGTCCACCAACCAACTTCTCAAGCTGATCCAGGCTCTCCAGAACGTGGCTCTTCCTGAGGAATGCAATTATACCAGATTGGGCTACTTGCTGATATGCAGATTGGCCGCCTTGCCACAAGTCCTTAGCTGTCATCAGTCGAGTCGGGTGAAATGTGTGTTCAAATTTCTGCCTGCCCTTCGACGAATCACCAGCAAGCCATCCATCATGGCAATGCATGAAGACGGATGATGAAGGCTTTGCTTCCCAGCATCGGCTTGGCAAATTGAGATGCTCTGGCTCCAGCCTCCAGAAGCCCTGCTCTTCGGGATCCGCAGCAGCAGCTTGCAAGTCCTGGCGCAACGAAGAAGAGCGAAGGCCTGTCTCCTGCACAAAGCTGCATTCGGCCTTGATGAGTGTGTCGAGAGCGTCGGGCTCATTTGTGGTTTCCAGATATGCGCTTAACGGGGAAAGTAGACTGACGGGCAAGATGAAGTTGATGTGTGGCAACACTGCGCCATCCTGACACTGACATCGTGTATCGCGGATAAGCTCATTCATGATTCACAGTGAACTGCCCTTTTTTGTGAGTCCTGCTGCTTGGCATTGGTAGTCACCATGCCCAGCAGCCTCATGGCTCGACAGGGACGGAGCACGCACAGGTGGAGGATCTAAAAATCAAACAAGGATCAAAAAAATCGGTGATAAAAAGATGGATCAAAAAACATGATGATGACATAAGTGCGCTCTACGCGAGAGCTTGATCTTCCCGAGGACGTACTACACCAGAGGGTGTCAAAGAGTAGTGGGTTTGGGGGGGATGCAGGCCCCTCATTTTGAAAACTATTGAAGAACGTCGTCGTTGTTCATGTGGATGCATTATTTAAGCATGATACGGATTCATAGGTGTTGCCTCTTCCATTGTTTCTTTCTTCCTTGGGTTGTCCTTACTTGTGTTCTCTTGTTCTGCCGCCAGAAGTGGACTTTCTCTTTGATTTCTCTTTACTGAAGTAATTCCATGATTTGGCTTGTTGATCCATATTTCATTTCTTACGTGATTTTCATCCACAGCGAGTTGCTCGCCGGTCTCCGCAGCTACCAAAGCACCGCCGCTGCAGCCGCGATGCACTGCTGCGGAGCTCTGCAAAACCGCAGCTCTGCCCTTCTTTCCACACACGATCCTGGCAAGTTGGCCTGGGCACTTCACTTCTGGGCATCGCATGTTGGAGCCAGAGGAAGGCTTCGAATGCTCAGGCCGACGCCACGCGTCACAGCTGGGCCTTGCCAAGGAGAGGCTGGACCGAAGAGCCCATGCCCCACAGCCCAAACCTGGCAAAATCATCATCTGCTTCAGCATGGATCAACTGGAAGTAGCCTGGTGCAACTTGGAGCCTTGATTCCATGCTGGAGGGGGGAGGCGCGCTGCTGCTTCCAGAGACTCGGGTTGAAGACATGCTGCGACTGACTCCTCGCATGTAGCACGCTGTCGCCAGAAATGATCAACACTGTCTCTTTCACCACCGCACAACTCTACAGCATCCTCTTGTGCGTTCTCCACTAGGCTTTGTTTGCTTTTTGAGGCTTCTGGCTTCCCAACTACCATGTGGAGGCTTGTGAGCGTGAGTTTCCAGAAGAGAAAATTTGAAGGGCTGAAGCTCTGACCGAACCGGGTAGGCACATGTCTGCATAGATGCAGTGACCGACTGACTGGATCCGCTTGCCAGATGAGCTGTTCTGATTTGAAACTCGCACTGGAGAATTCATGAGAGTCGGCCTTCCACCCTCCCACCTAGCACTTGTTCTGGACTGCATGATCCGTAGAGCATGCTTACAAGATATTACCTACAGAGCTCAGCACAAGTTCACGGACATTACAAATGCAAAAGCTCCTTTGCCCCTTTGCTATGAGCAAGGCCGCGTCCAGGAATCCATCGAAAACATGCAGCACATCGGCTTCAAAGGTGACCGCCGACACTCCGCCCTCCAGAAATGAGATAGCTCAAGAGCTGAGCTATGTTTCTAAAACAATGCCAGCATCAAAGATTGGGCCTGATCATGCACAAGGCAGCGTCCATGACAACGCGGGTAGGTTGCCGAAGAACGCCGGGCTTGCGCGCCATCCTGCATACTAGGGTCAACAACTGAGGCTAGAGCATTCCATTGAATCCTTATGCTACTTCTGCACCATTTGTTCAATCACTCGAGAAAATGGATCGAAATAGAGAAACCTGCAGTATTACAACTGGAGCTCGCCCTGTGAAATCGTGCTTTGTGCGGCATCCAGGCAATTGACTTGCAGATGCTTCGAGCGGTTGAATCGAAGTGCTTTCCGGCGTATCTGGTGGGCAGAGAAGAGCGCGCGAGAGTCTCTCAGGGCGCTTGTTGGATGGGCAGGAATCACGCTTCAATCAATATATTGACTCGATTTTGCGGAGCGCTCCTTGCCCGGAATGCTTGCAATTACGACATGGCTGAGTCAGGTGTACTTCCACTCTTTTTGCCATTTGCCTTGGCTCTGCTTTGTGCTTGGCAGTTTTTGATCACCCTGCCCCCTTTGCCTAGGAAGTCCCGTTCCTCCTGCTAGTTGCCTACTTGCCTGACGTCTCTCGACCCCTGTCGCATTTTGTCGCTTGTCTTCCTGTAGCATAACATGGTGAAACTACGACTGCTGCTTGCCCGCAGACACTGGGGACCTTGGACGGCTCCATCCAAGATGTACCCGTGAGCAGATGAGCACATGTGAGAAGATGGCCATCCGCAGATAATACCACTGCTGATGCCCAACTGCCCGAATCCAGCCACAGCAGGGCAACTCCTTCGCGTACCTGCAATGCAGGCATGCAACGAAAAAATCATCGCCTGGCGTGCAGAACTCCGTCTGCCTGCTCCAGCTGCCATGAGGGCGGAAAGCCCAAAGGGCGCGGTACAAGGCTTGCGGCCTCGCCTTCCACCAGCTGCGCCTGACCTTGTCAACACTTCCCTCTCCGGCACAGCACAAGTTGCATCCAACACGGATTTCTGTAGGCACCAGGCAGGCAGGATCATCAAGCAATGTGTCTCGAATGACGCTCAGCGGAATTGCCAAACTGAGCGCACCGGAATCTCCTGCGCAGAGTGACAAAAAATTTGCTCAGACAACCAAAAGTTGTGTCTCTTCACATGGTGCGGAATCTTGCAACCTCGTGGCCCGCGTGCCACAATGCTGCTTCGTTCCCTAACTGTCCTGATCTGCTGTGCAAAGCTGGGGCCATGATTCCGACGGCTTCTGCCTGGCATTCTGGGCGTCTCAAAGGCTCACTATGAGATTCACGTTTCAGCTTGTTTGCCTGCGGGCCCGTGCCCAAAAGGAGGGCTCCGCCGACGGCACTGTCAGCAGCAGCATCTGTCAGGAGGAGGCCAGGATGCGAGGAAATGTTGGAGATGACACCTGGCAGGGGGCTAATCGTTGGACTCGGGTATAAAAGCTGGATTCCTGCCTCGTGTGACCACAGTCCTCAGAGATTTAGTGCCAGCTGGGCGGGATCTTGCGCCAAAGGGAGCAAAAACCAGTTGGATCTCTCGGCCAATCCACTGCTGATCTGGCTCAGACCAGCAGTTTCGCAATCCGGCAGCGAAAGGTTTTCTACAGCCCACTGCAGGCCGCAAAACATGAAGCCAGAAGCCTCCTTCAATCTGACCACAACGCCAGCCTCTCGACTCAAGAGAACGGAAAGCCTCAGAGGCTTGACGAATCTGAGTCGAAGCCTTCAATCTGGCTTCCACCGCAATTTGCTCGAAGTTGGCTCCCAGAGGGAGCGCAACTGAAATCGAGCTGCCTGGCCTGATGTTGCAAGTGGTCAGAATCAACGGAGCGCCAGCTCCTGTCCAAATGGCAAGCCCTGAGGCTTGCGACTTCGCGTAGCTTGCAAGCGGGGAACGAGCTTCCACCGCAACTACATGTGCCTCCATGGCTTGGTGGCATCTTTATCAAGTCTCTGTGTAATGATTCAATGGACAAGGGCAGAAGGCGAAATGGCACAAGCAGGTTCTGCAGCAATCGGGACTACGAAGTTGCATGCCTTTGGGTTGTGGAGACGGGCTCTGCCTGTAATTTTTGTTGCACTGGGGCGAGCACTAGGAGGTCAGATGTCAAAGGCCGAAGATCATACACCAGAAAATGACGGCAACCCAATTCACTCCACCGTGCTTGAGGTAAAACAAATGTTCATGCAGCTGGGCGTGGCTTATGATTGGTATGATACCAATCAGTGAGAAAGCCGGCTGCCCACAGTGGCCTGAAGGTCTGCTCTCGTAACGTCGGACGTCACCTGACAGGCGCATGGCAAAGGGCAGAGGGCACCAGCAATTTCCTCAGCTGATCACCGATTAAACAACAGCTTCTTGACTGCACTCTTTTCTATGAGCCAGCGAGCCACTCGGACATGGTGTCCAAATCCTAAATAGCAGGCGACCTATGTACAGCTCGGTCAGACGGCCTACCATGTCCTGCTAGAGTCGCGACAGCTTTAGCTCATGTGGCGGCAAACCAGCAACACCGCCCAGTTCTGCAAGTTGAGCCTGCACAGGATGTTCCACGAGCCGCCGTTTCATCAATGCACACATGAAGGTCAAGAGGTGGCCTTTCGCACCACGAACAGCGATCCGGCCAAGGGGTAGCGCTTCTCATCGTCAGCACCAAACCCTTCTCTGGCCGTCGTGATGTAAAGGTCTTCCAAGTTCTCGCCGCCGAAGGCAACTGATGTCACCTACTACAATACAGTCCAACAGAAATACTGCGCTGCTGTCAACAAGATGCAGCATTCACAACACTCTACATTTGCTGTGCCCTCCTTGCTGGTTTTGTAGTTGTTAGGAGCAAGGAACGCAACATTGCGATTCAAGCTTTGCCCCAAAGTTGGCCTGCTTGCCTGCCTCTGGCGGCACATGCACTTCTGCCAGGAGGCAGCCAGACGCTGGATCGTAGCAGCCGACGCAGCCGCCATTGAATCGAGCTACCCAAAGCCTTTCTTTCTGATCAATCGTGCACCTGTCGGAGGCGCACGTGTATCTTCACGCATACACAGCACAAACTTGCATGATGCCTGCAGATGCCTGCTTGCTTCCTAAAACTTCAAGCTGTCCGAGCTACCCATCTGGGAAGCCTGTTTTCTCGAAGTCAAAACCAGTTATGACGGGGCGTCGATTCGAGATCGCCCCGCTCTGCAGATCGAAATCAAAGGCATCAACTTGACCGGTAGGCGTGTCGATGTAATACATGGTTTGCCCATCCCGACTCCAAATTAAGCCATTGGAGATGCTAAGGTCGGTCAGCATCACCGAGACACTGCCATCAACGTCTCGGCGGTACAGAGTGGCACCTTTGCAAATGTTTAAATCCTTGTCTCGTGTGATTGTCCCTGCCCAATAACAACCTCTCGGATCAACTTTGCCATCATTGAACCGCTCGAAATCATGAACTGGTGGATCGTTGCCTAGCTTGTCCAGGCTCTTCGTTCGGAAATTATACATTGCCTCAGTTTTGACTCAGCGTGGAGGTCTTGGAACTGAATGGGGTGGAAAGGTCTGGACTGCATCAAACTCAGGATCCTGCAAAGCCCTCCCGCAGTGTGACTGCCACTAAATCACCCGCAGGATCAACTTCATGAGACAGCGGCACCACAGAGCTCACGGAGGCAGAGAACTTTCTAAGGTCATGCTCCTCGTTGTCGTTCGACACTGGGTCGAAGCGGTACAGCTTCGAACCTTAGTCAAAATTTCTCAAGGACCGAATAACATTCTAGAAAATGCTGACAACCAAGCAGCTGTAGATGTCCAACCAAAGTAATTTCTTGGAACCTCGGTGCAGCCAAGCCCCTTTTGCTTTGCAAAACCCAGCTTCAGGATACCAAGCTTGCAGAAGCATGCGAATCATGCGACCAAGGTGCGGCTGTCCCATATGGATCCTTCACCCAACTGTGCCGGCAACTTGACCGCAAGCTCTGCCGTCAATGTCGCAGCCATAGCGAGGAGCACACTTCAATCGCGACCCGGCCCTGCAGATAAGGATGCAAGTACTCCCCAATGGCCTACATTGCATAGCCCCGAAATATTGGAAGTCACAGTGTCCGGTAGGCTAATACTATCCTGTGGCAGCCTGGAGCATGCTGCAAGGCTACTTGACTTGCACTGCCCTCTGAAATAGGCTCGTCAAAAGGGATACAAATGCATGCTCGCCCTCTGCCCAACAACCACTAACAGTCATGCAAGTCATGCCGCTCATTCGACAAGTACCTTCGTCAGGAAAACGCGGCATCCGCTTTGTACAGAAGCCGTCACGGTGGACGGTGGCGGCCTGTGCTGTGACAAATGTAATTGCCCACCTACAACCGAATCAACCAGAATGTCGAGCTCTTGGCGCTCGCGGTGCCGCAATGTCCACCAAGATCGGGCTACCTTCCAAAACACAGCGATAGGAATCAAGCTGGCTGGCTAAAGTAGACACATGGGCCTTGCACCTGATGCGTGCCATGTGCTATTGCTTTCTGAATGCCAGAAGCGTCAGCCTCAGGCCATGTACATACCCAGACTAAAAACCTCACTTCAGCATAGCTCAGACGACACGCAAATTCCAAGAGCTCGAATCGGCTCACTCAGGCAGGCACAAACGATACAAAGCATATGCCCTTGTGCCCACCTTCGTCAGAAAAAATGCATGCGTGCCGATGTGTGCCGAACCATCTCTCCGGTCGGTCAAAGGTCGGTCAGCAAGTAGATGCTAGAATGCCAAGGCCACCACCACCACCCAAAGGAGCTGGCAAATAGACATCTGTAAGGTCACCAAACCTCAGGTTTCCACAGGCCAAGATTCCCACAAGGCATGCCGACTCTGCAAATGGGCAACTGTGCGAAGTATGCCCGAAGTTCGGCTTGGCCCAACGTCTGGGGCACCTTTCACATTGTCGCAGGGCTAGCTTGGTAAGAACTTAAACCAGCGCACATGCTCCAAGCCTTCGAAACAAACAGTCGGTCCAGTTTCTCGCTGCTGCCCTGCACCTGTTCACAATCGTTTGTTCCGGAGGATGTCTGTGCAGGACTACATTTCGCCTGCGGAGCAGGTCTCTGTTGTGCTGCGTCCTCACCTGCCATCAAACTGCGACGGATGTCTATGCTTGAGCCGAAGGGAACTCATGGACGGACCTCCTGAGAAGCTGACGCCCTGCAGTGATGCCTAAATTTGGTCTGTGCCATGAGCCATGAGTTTCATGGGCGCCTGTGAGGATTCGTCCGAGGCAGCGACTAAAGCTGCTTTTGCTGCAGCATCCAGGTTGGCTGCAGCCTGCACATATTCGGCGAATGGAGGTCAACTGCCACATCACTCACCACTCCAATGACTCATTGCCTTTGCACGTGCCGTGGTCTCGTCATCCTTCCAGCCAGTGGACACGTGACAACATAAAAATTGACCTACTCTGCATTCCCCCGAAAGTTGACAGCCTCGGCCATAGCAAGGTCCGGAACCTGGCCTGCAGCCCATGCTGCGCTCGAGCCAAAAAGTTTCCAGTGCGACGCTGTCGCTGCAAGTGGCAATGCTAAACTGAGTCTATGTGCTCACTGCTCGATGATTTTTCAACAGGACAGCTCACAAATCACCACCTTCAATCACGACCTCACTTGCTTCCACCCCACCAGCATCCCCGATGCATTTGGCTTTGCCAGTGTCGGAGCTCGACGTGGTAGCAGGGAGTGGAGGTAGGTTTCTCATCGTCTGCAGTTTCTTCTCAAAAGAATCTGCTTGCACATGGAAGGACCGGATTACATCATCAAGTTTATCCAAGCGTTTAATTGCGTAGCTTTCCTCAGCTCAATGGCACAGGTTCTGCACAGGTCGGAGAAGGACCACATTCAAACAGCACGCTCGTCCTACCAAATCCCTGAGCTTTGCATGCAGGCACGACACCAAAGAGATCAGCTGGTCATCCAACGTCGGCTCTTCTCGTGCTGTCTGGCCCAGCTCCATTGAAGCAGTCCCCCCTTTGGTGCCAATAAGTTTCTCATAGGAAACCTTGACCTCGCGTGGAATGTGAAGATGAGCTGTAACCATCAGCCAAGGGCAGTGAAACTATGCGCTGCCAATGCCTTGTCCATGGTCTTGCTGGCCACAAGCATGGATTTCGAATCTGCGTCTCCTGCAAGCTGAAGACAGACCAAACAAATGGATCTGGGACTTCATGTTCTTGCTAGCCCCATCTTCCTACAACAGTCCTTGAACCTGGGCCATTCCTTTCAACAATTCCTCAGTGGTTTGGCAGGTCAATTCCAAGGCGACATGTAGGAAAAAGGCAAAGGCTAGAAGTCAAGCTTCGGAGACACTCAACTCACCTTGACCGTCGTCATCCAGCACTCTGAATAATTGCTTCATCTCCTTATGGCGTGAGGCTTCTCAAGGTAATTAGATGCCCATGCCCTGTCTAAGCTCAGCTCTTCCTCCTCAAAGCCCAAGAGGAAGAACTTGTCCCTGAGGCACGACACGAATCCCAAGAAATAAATCCAAATCCTATTTACCACAGTCTGCCTGCCTTGCCTGCATTGCTGAATTTCGAAGGCGGCATCAAATTCTTCGGTGCTTACAAGGCCACTCCCATCCTCGTCCAGGACCTCGAAGATGTGCCTTGAAACTTCAGGAACCCCCTCCCCCCCTTTGGCCGAAAGATGCAGGAATCAGGAATCCCACCAGCCTGAGGTCCTTCATGTTCTTCTTCTCCTCCATGCGCATCTCAAACAAGCGCTCTGCTTCGTTCTCGTTCACAATTGCTTGTGCTTTATCACCTCTGGCAAGTTCAACGCCATCAGGGGAGCAAGCCATGGAAAGGGACAACCTTCAAACAAGCTGCAGATGGTAGCTGTAACGAGGTTCAGGATGACGTAGGCTGCGACCGCCATGAATGCAAAGCAGTATATCCAAATGTAGGGCTGCTTCTCCTGCAATTCCTCAATGAGATCCACCGCATTGTCACCTTGGCCGTTCGAAGTAAAGACTGCTGAGCAGTCTGGGACACATTCTCAAAAAGCAAGGCCAGATTTGAGGGCCATGACCTCAAAATGCCAGGCTGCTAAAAATGAAACGGGACATAGTCAGGCTTGCTTGAATCACGCCATTTTGGAAGTACCAGGCAGCTGTTTCCTCAGGTGCGGTTCCCCAAGCTGCCTCTCGTCCTGTCAAGTTGGCTGGGCCGCCCCTTGCAAGCTTTAGAAGGCTTCTTGCAGAATCGTTCTCGGCTCTGCTGTCCACTGCAAGAACTTGGCAACTGGACTGACCAGCTAAACAAGACACCGGCAGCGTGTCCTATGATGTCGACGGAGATTATGCCGAAAGTTAAGTCTGTCAGGAAAATCATCAAAATGCATGCCTGAGAGGCAGGGGCATGAACTTCACGCCGGTAGCGCAACCCATCAGTGTTGCAGCAAGGACGCTGCGAGGGTGAAGATGGTCCCCAATGCACCCGTCAGAAGCATCCGGAAGCTCTGGAAGTGTCTGAGAACCCTGAAATATCGCAACGAACGCATACCTCTGATTGCCCGGATGGCCTGGCGAGTTTAGCAAAATCCGCTTGCAGTTGAAGTGCTCCATCTGTCCTATCATACTCTCAGAACACAGGCCGTTATCAGCCACCACACCTGGAAAGCAGCCAGGCCCCCTTGACCGACGATCAGAGGCGCAATCCACAGGAGGAACACGCCCACCACCCACACAATAAAGGTATCCAACCAGTTCGAAGCGCTGGTGAAATAGTCTTGCCCGTGGGCAGCAACACAAAGACACCACTCCTTACATGCCAACAAAAACCTTATTCAAATGAACATGCCATGAAAGGTGCAATGCTGCTTCATGGCAGACGGTGCAGGAGGAGGCTCGACCAGAAACAGGGTGGTAAAGCTTTCCTCACCAGATGCTGAGCAGCACCACAGCCGCTAGCTTTGGATGAGACTTGACTCTCTTGCTTCCGGGAGGCATCCAGAGCGCTGATTGCAGACAATGTGAAGTCACTGCAGCCCTCATGGCCTAGATTGGACTTAGTCAAGTCTTCTTTGCGAGGCAGGCCAAATACACATCAACTGAGGTTGCTGCAGTCTGCCTGAACACCCAGGAAGACCAAGTTGATGCTAATCAACGCACAGCTCAGCGCCCTGAATGCCATTTGAAAGTTACTCGTACTCAGGTCTACTTAATTTTAGTTTGAGCTTCTTCTCTGGTGAGCTTTGCAGGGGAGATCAGCGTCGTCGCATGCTGCACAGATGAAGCCATTTGCGAGAAGCAAGTCCCAACTCAAAGGCTCCGGCGGACACAGTCAAGCTGCCTAGCTAGCAAACACCAAGTCCACTCTTGCGTTCAGGAACCGCCTCTGCCCTGACAATTTGAATTTGGGGCAATAAGTGAGCTTTGGAGCGAAGGAAGCCGGAGACAAAAAAAATTGCACCCAACAAAACCCCAAAAGAAGATCCGCCAAACGCAGTCAGAACAATGCACCAGGCATGCATACTCTCAATTTCTGCAAGTGCGCACACAAACCTTCCGCACGCTGTGCTAAAAAGATACTGGCCAGACGCCCTCAACAAATTTCTCGACGATAGAAGACAAACGCTATGAACGGCCAAACTGCCATGCAATGGAAAATCGTTCAGCTCCAGTGCCAAAGGAGCTGCTCCACAGGATAGCAAATGATGACAGTCCAGCTTCGCCTACTTGATGCCAGCAAGTTGCTCGAATCCATTGCTAGTCACGATCTTCTGCAGCCTCGGTACAGCACTAATGTCTCGCTCAAGGACCTCCCTAGCCTACTGATCATTTGTATGCCACTAGCCTCGCTTGGCCACTCCTGCTCGAGACTCTAGTTGTTGAATGCTCATTCTTGAGCAGCAGAATCTGCAGTGAAACCTCCACAAAAGGTCGCCCATGCTATACGTCACGCTGAGCGGCTTTTCCCTCATCGTCAATGTAGGCATGGGCTCCTGATGACCAACACTTCCGTCAACAAATGCCTAGAGAAGACATTGTCATTCATTGTGAAACTCCTGGTTGCGCAGCTCTTCCTTCTTGCTAGCGCTTTCTTCGTCATCACTGTCAGGAAGCTCCACGTCCACCTAAGTTTACCATCTCCGTCATGAGGCAGTCCAAACTCCAAATCAGCGTGGTTGTCTTGGCCATCTTGCATCCAAGGCTCATTGTATGGCTGTGCCAGCCATACTGCAAAATCAGAAGCGGCCCCACGCACCCGGGCACACGCCTTGTTGCTGCCGCGGACGTCTTTATCCTGCTTTTCCTGCGACCTCGCAGTTAGCAGCCGAGAATGACATCCCATCCTAGCTTCTTTTCAGAAGACTCCATCCAGCATGTCCAGTGCTACTATGCAGCGGCGACGCCGCAAAGACCGTCTTTAGCCTGGCAAGACACCCACACAAAGACATCCTGCACCAAAACGCCACAATGACAGGCCTGTCAGCCCGTGATGGACGAGGATTCTCACTGGCTGCGATGGGCACCAGCTCCGACATGACCAACGACTCCCAAAAAATACTATTCCAGGGGCTGTTTGGTGCTGTTTGCTTGCTAGCTGTGAAAACTAAGTGGACATGGGCTGGATGCTCTCTTCCGGAACTGTCACAGCAAACAGGTGTGAGGCCGAAGGAGTCAGCGCGCACAGAGCATCACAGGTCGCAGTTCTGTAGCCAGGAGCTTTTGCATGCTGAAGCATCGCGAGCCATGGCACGCACGTTTTCCAAAGAACGTCAAGCATGCAAACTAGAGAGTCACTTGTCGCCGGCTGCTTCCAACATGGCTTTGGCACGAGTCAGGGATTGATGCTCAGACTGCCTGGCCTTAGTGGTTGTCTGCAGGCTTGGAGCTGCTGCAGCGCACTACCCTTTGGCAAGATGGCAATGGATCGGCTGAGTGTGCCACATCCTGGCGACTGTCAAAGTTCCTTGGTGCAACACCAGGTGTCCAACGGTGAAGTTCGGCAGTGTCTCACCAACATCATGTAATATCCGAACGTGTGTTTGCTCCCAGGGTCTTCAGCAAGAAGTCACATTCGGCATGCAAATTCCGAATCTCCTGCATCAAGAGCAGCAAATGGCCGTCATGATGTCCCTGCACTTGGAGATCCACATCTTGCTGTCCTCTTCCATTGAAAGAAGTGCCTGAAGAGCCCCAATGGCTTGCAACACCAGGGTTGACCGGATGCTGCAAGGTCCAAGTCTGGGCTTTAATGGCATCTCGGGATATAATTGCTGAACTGCTTTCCTGTGCATATATATATATACAATGGAGGCCTGTTTGTGCGAGCGCAGCTCCTCACGACCTGAGCAGGCAAAGTGAGGAGAGATATGAACAACAAGCGCAAAGATCTACAAAGCTCCCGGCTCCGCTGCAGACTTACCTGAAGCTCTGCCTTCGCTGCCTGGCATTCAACATCATATCAGATGCCAGGCATGGAATCCCTCGCGCCTGCTTGCCCCCAAGGTTTTTGTTGTTGATCATCTTCTCGTCGTTTGAGTTCTCCACAATCTTTTCATACTCCGCCTGTCCCTCAGCCACAAATGAGTCTGCACACTACATTGCAAACCATCCGTTTGCCAACCAAGCAAGCAGCAACTTTATCCTCCGACTCCAGAGCGTCTACTTGCTTCTGGATATCCGCCTGTGTTGTCTATGCGTGACCAGGAAACAAACACGACGCACTTGTTGAATCCTTCTGAATAGCCCAATTTGCGTTGCCTTGATTCGGTTGAACAACATGATGAGACGGGTGGATGCCCCACCTGCCAAGCCAGAAAGTTTTTGCTCAATGCGACCGTAGAACCAAACAGACGTTTTGCCAGGCATGAGGGCAACGGGCCTTGCTTGTTGTACGTAAGATCAGCCTGGCCGGCTATTCTGCCAGCAACATCTGTTGGGCTGGGCATATTTCAGCCTCTGGAACATCTTTTCGGTCCACTCGCCTGCTGCCAAATACCCTCCACCCCACCTCTCACATATCATGTCCTACAGAAACTGTCCACTTCAGAGCCTCCAAGCCTCAGAAGTTGCATTTTGTTGTACCTCGCGCATTCGGAACAAACCAGCATAATGTGCTATGTAAGAAGCTTCTGGAACATGTCACCCAATCCCACGGCCTGGACGAGACTGCTGGAATAAAACCTCGCAGGACATGCTGCAAAAAACATCGCTCATACATTAGCCGAAGGATTTTGCTCTCTTAACTTCCAATGCCCTGGCCGCTCGATGCGTCGCGCTGCCACATCCAACAGTTCAAGAGCCTGGCGCAGGCTCACAACACTTTCATTGGCAGAATGCTCGCGGTAACACAGCCAGTGCTACGGCGTTGTTGGTGTTTTGGGACTTGACCTGGACAAACATGGAACCGGTATTCGAAAAAACTCTTGTTTGCTAGGCAACATCTGCATGCATTCCTCGTAATAACATCCGCAAGCTTCGGGCAAATTCTGCATGCTCGCGTTTGCGAGTGCTTGTAATGTCCGCCACTTGTGTATCAAGGTCCTGTCTTCAAAACTTTTCAAATGACAAACTGCAGTGTGACCAGCAAGCATCTGGGAACGATGATAGCAATCAGCAAACTTGTCCTTCATGCTCTTGTCCAGGGTTGCAATCTCGTCATTGACGGTGCTCAATTCATTCTGATCAGGACATACGAAAAATCTGCTGAGTACAACAAAGCACGGTGTGTCCTCGTAGGTAGCCATGATGCTTGAAGCATCCTGCACTCATCTTACGACGAGCAACAAAAAGCTTGGTTTGCGCTTGCTAGCTTGCTTCAACCAACAAAGTCACGAGCACAACGTTGCACCCTGCATGTTCCGGCACCTCGATGTCCCTTGCCTTGCTCTGCTTGGTTAGTGCGGCCTGAAGGAAGGGTCACAATGCTGAACTCCCCTGCTTATTTCTGGCTGCCTGTTCCAATTTTTTTTGGCAATACTTTCGCCGCTCCTCGGCACATGTCAAGGCAGGAGGCGCTGAACTTGCAACAGTTCGGCATCAGCTCCTCATCTGAAGCCTGCTCTTTTTCCAGGACCTGATGGAGATCCTTGGTACTTCGCAAGCCGCAAACCTACAACTGGAGCACTGCAAAACTTGAAGGCAAAGCGTCATCAATCTTTTTCATGACAACCTCAATGCCAGGGCGTTCCCCACCTGGAATGGTGAGCTAAACATCATGTGTTGTTTCGTGTGAAATGGGTGTTTATTGCCCAGCCACGCAAGGCCATCTGAGCATAGTCTGCTGATTCGGCACGTGTGCCCTGCTCACAACGTGCGGCCAAAGGAAACAAAGGAAAAAAAAGGCACATACAAGCAAACCGGCTGACCCACCAGGATCCTTAATCCCTTCCTGCCCCAGATGGTAGAAATCTGCCCCCGGAACTAGGTTTAAAAGGGCCAAACCTAAACTTGATTGCGGCTCGGATCCTGTGAGTTAGGGGGTTATGATTTGAATATGTTTCTTGTATTTTTTTTCTCATGGATTTAATTGTTTGTCGTCCGCTTGTTAATTCCATGTCAATAGGATCCTATTATATGTCCCCCTTCATATTCTGTGCGTACAATAAATACCCGCTTAGATAAAAATGTTGTCTCATAGGTGATTTTATGTTCGAGAGCAAGTTTATTGATGTTCAAACCAACCACGGGCCACCTGACCATCCATGCTGCCAACCATTGTCTGCAGGAAACTCATCCACACGCCGTGTTGCTCCTTCCGGGTCCAAGTTTGGGGTGGTTTTGTTTGTTGTTTGCCGAATGAACCAACTGCTGACAGCTGATGCGGCCTGGTATGTATATGGTTTCTCTGGATGCGTCCTCCAATATGCTCATGAAACAGAAAACACATCACGAATCATATCTTGACGTGTGCTGGGAGAAGGGCCTGCGCTGCACCAAGGACGAGCTTTTCAGAGCTCCACGTATGGTGTTTTGCACATCATTTTTTTGCAAAAACTCGACCTGATGCAGCATGTGTGCAAACGCATACGGTCTGCATACTGAAGCCTTGCATGTTTGTTAAAGCCCGCCACTGTTTCGGATAAAGCCTGGATCTCCTCGGCTTGCGACGCTTTGTAATCATTCCAGGCCTCGCGGATGCTGTTCTTGGAGGGAATAAGCACTTGGGAGGGCAAAGCCAAGGACTTGCTCGGCCTGTTGTTTCGCATCACATGTTCGGTTGAGATCGAAAATGAAGGAATTGCTTTCCTGAGCTATTTCCACGCACAAAATGTTGCAACAAACCCAACCTCAACTGTTATTGTTGCATGGGCGCTGGCCGTCTGAGTGTCCATTTTGTCCTTGCGAAACAGGGGAATGTGTTCGCTGTATGGACTGACACATACGCGCATGCGCCGTGCAGACCTGTCCTTGATGTCATCTTTCACCATCTGCGCTTCAACTTTCAACTCTCCAAGCCGCAGCATCCTTGCGAAGTGCAACTGTGCTGAACCCATCGCCTTGTTGCTCATTGCACGACAAACTGACTGAGCGGCGCGGCTTCTCTTCTAAGGCTTTCATTGCCGCTTCGCTTTCCCGTTGCTTGGCGTCTAGTAAATTCTGGTGCCTCGTGCCCGGGAACATGCAACAATGCGTTTCCAAAATTACATCCACAGAGGGGGTGCATTCCATGAACACGCATACAACTGTATACAACTGAGCACCAGGCTCATCCATGCGCTGTTTTTCCATGTTTGCCAGCTCGCGCAGATCACCAGCCACTTCCTTCAAAAACATGTGCCACGGGATTCTGTCTGACTTGTACCTACTTATGCAATGGACCTCCTTCATTTGCTTCAACATGCCGACGACATGGTTGCTAGAAGGTTGATTGCCTGCAGAACCCGATCACTGAATCAGCTCGACACCAGCTCGTCCGCCCAAGCAACCCGCAATGTCACAAACGCATGGTGCTCGAACAGCCAAGTTTCCCTTGAAATTCTCATGGTTTCACGTCCATTGTGTACGTTGTTTGAAAGCATGGCTGTTTGTGTCTTCAATCATTTTTGTTACCCGGACCTTTCTGAACACCAGTTTGTGCGGTCCCGTGCATTTTTTTTGCCAGGCAAGTCTTGCCGTCCCACACCAAAAAAAAATGGGGCCAAGACCAAGCCACGGCCCGCAGTCGTGACCGATGGTCCGACAGGCCATCACGCTAGGAGGCAACGCCTCCGCGGAGTCGATGCACAGGAAGGCAAGGGCGGCAGCACACGCACAAGCAAACCGACCTAGGATGCACGGGGAGGTGCAAGCCGCGTGTGTTGGCGGAGGGGTTGCCAGCGCCCTGCAAGGGGGGGCACCCAAAAAGTCCTGCCTTTTTCCCGCGTGATTGCTGGTATGTTGCGCGTACCTGGCTTGACCAGCGTGTTTGCTAGGACAAGCACACAAGAAGGAAGTTCCAAGGGCGAGGGTCGCAGGTTTCCGGCCGCAACAGCGGTTGCTATGGATTGCCCCACGGCGCGTGCCGGCAACCGCCAGCTGTGCTGTCCACAAACGAAATGGACCAGCTTGCAGACGCAACTGCTCGGACGGCAACGGGATGCAAAAGGATTCCGATGCACCCGGACAGGCAACCGCAGCGGCAAAAGCGACATACTTGCCCATGCCAGCACCAGGCGCAAGCGCAGAACCATAATCTGGCGTTGATGTGGCTTCGCAACCAATGTGGCATCAGCGCAAGAAAACAGCTGGGAAACAAGCCGTTTCGACGCTTCGGCGTGTTAACACAAGAAGGGACAGAATGCCTCCACCTGCGAGAATGCTAAGCAAGATGGCGCGCCTTGATACTCCAGATGAATATTTGCGGCCCGGCTTCGTTTGTTCACGTGGCATGTGTCTGCGGGCTCTCTTGCGTTTCAAAACACCTATGGCTTCCACATGGACATTTGCATGGTCACTGACCATACTGCATCAAAATGAAGTGAGACGAGGTCCCGGATCCAAAACGTGTCACGCGCAGAAAAGAACAATAACTACACACACATGTAGCAAGAAGTGTTGAGCATGCACAGCGCACTCTCCATCTTTTTAATCTGGTTGGCTCAAGTCTTGCAGACATGCAAGCATCCAGCTGTGGTCGCTGGACAAGCACCCCCCACCCCCTGGGCGGGCGGGCGGGAAACAAAAATTTCACTGCAGCAACACCTGCAGCCCATCGAGCAATCACACTCGACCAAATCCTCCCTGACTCTGCAACACAGCTGGAATTCTAACGCAAGAACGCACACATGCAGCAAGCAAGCACTCGACACTCGCGGATCCCACTTCATGCCCTAAAGTGCACCCCGCTGGGCAGAAGGAAACACCCAACCGCACTTGTGTAATGACTGCGCAAACTGTACACGGAATCTCCGTGTCACGGGAAAGCCTGCTGCCAGCCTGTTGCCACACTCCTTGGATGGTATAAGGACACCAAAAAAAGTTCATCAACGGGTGCGATTGCAGCACAAGCAATACTGGTACCCAGACAAACTCGAACAGCTGGCACCCCTTCAGGGACGGAGGCCTGCACAAAACATGAAACACGCATGGCCAACAGCACGAATCCTGGAACCGTTGTGAAAAGTCAGTTCATGAACAAAGCTGTGGTTCTTTGTACAGTGATTTCATCCATTTTGCAGTGCGTTTGTGTGTGCACAGTCGAGGGCGCACTGAGGGATCTTGGCACGCGGCGGCCGGGAAACCTGCATGCTCAAACATCAAGCCCTGGGTTGCTGGGACATGGTGGCTTGATAAACAAGCAACACAACAAGTCTCCGAGGCTGGATACAGCGCACGCACACACAGCCAGGAGCAGCCCGGAGAACTCGGGCGAAGCGGCCCGTGCACGACCAAAAATGTTGATGGCAGAAGCCACGTGGACGGAGGTCGTCCAACGCAGCATGAGGAAACTTCCACGCACGAGTATCACACAGGCCCGTGCGCAACATCAAACAATTTTTGTTTTTCTTCTGAACTGCGGCCAACTGCTTCTCGAAACTTGCACAAGCATGCGACGGAAGCGCGATCGCTCTGGCCCTAGATGCAACATGATTGTGACGTAACGGGAGAGGGGGGTCTAGCACATCTAGCACGAACTACGCAAGCAGTGATGTTTGGCTTGAGCCACGTACTAGCAGCGTGGCAAAAAATTCGGCAAACGCCCGGGCTCGGGCCTTTCACACTGCGAGGGCTCGGGCCCAGGTTCGTGACCGAAATGGTGATGTCCCTCCGCATTCTTGCACACTACACAGCCACGACCACGCCCGCACACGCCCGTAGTGCGTCTTGGGCTGGTTGGGCCTCGCAGCGGGCCAACCTTCTTGCGCATTTTCGCGTGTTCGAGCTGCTGCACGCAGGCGGAGCCAACAACCCCAGAGTTGAGCGTGAAGAAACCAAGACGGCCGCTGGAAACAATGTGCCTGCGTGCCGCCTCCCACTGAACTAGCGCCCCTCCCGCGCCCAACCGTTCCCGACCCCCTCAGAACTAGACGTTTCCCGACAAAAACTCTGCAGCAACTTGGGCCCCCATCCCAGCTTTGTAATGGGTTTTTAATGGCATTTGTCGGACATCCTATGCGGCAGTTGTAAATACGAGTAGGTGCGGCGCAATGCACTGATGCATTTGTTGGGGTGGAATGTTTGCAAATTTGCCTGTCAGAAAACAACATCAACCAATACAATTGACTGAAAGCAATGCTGCCAGTCACCCCGCGGGCCGCGCAGTGCTTACAGGAACTGAATTCCATTTTTTGGTGTTTGCTGTCGTCATTGCCTCGAATGCGTGTGTTGCGTTCATCGCGCATCTGCTGCTGGCTCAACGACGCTGTTGCGGGCGGTCGCTCACGTGCGGCGCGTCAAACAGACCCAACCATTCAGCAGTAAGAACGGCGCCAAAGGCTTAACAGGAAAACCCGCATGTTGACAGGCGACATGCACGAACACTTTGCATTTAACCTGTCCTATTGAAACGTTTTGATGCGTGGCCGAGAAATTCTAATTCTCCAACTTCATACCGCCGACACAAACGAATCTTGAAAACAAAGATTCCTGAGTCTGTGCTCCAACCTGCAGGCATCGGACGTCCTATACGCTTTTGTGCGCGTTCGCCCTGGTCTCCCAGTCTTCCAAGAAGGCCCGCAAGATAAGCCCAGAATATGCGACCGACAGGTGTTCACCAGCCGAGAAGCGTCAACGCGTTTTCCCGATGTTTTGTCTTGGATTGACTTGTCGTGCAGTGGACAAAGGCTTGGAGGAGCAAACGCAACAGCAATGATATTGCTGAATGGACGCCTCCGTGCTGTTTGCACGGTAAACGAATCCAGTCTAAACTGGCGGCTGCCATGTGCGGAGGCGACAGCTGCAGCAGCGCACGGTAAGAGGCAACCCTGCCGCGATGCCGCTGAACTTTTGTGTGGCTGCATTGTCTTTCATCCATGTTGACATGGCAAGAGCGGCGCAAAAAAAACAACAGGGGAACAAATTGAACAGCCGAACGGCCTCACCAAGTTTTGAAAACACTGAGGACATCACCCTCGCCCCAACGCAAACCATTGCATCATGCAACCATTGCGAACCGCTGCTGCAGCTGCTGCACTACGGCGGCAGAGTTTGCTGACCAATCTCAATGAGAGGGCCGCGCTTGGCTGGACAGTCTTTTTGTTGCTCACGTTTGACTATTCTTGCTGAATGTTGCCTTGTTGCGCTTTGACTTGGACAGGAAAATGTATCTCAATCGGTGGCCCCTCATCCAAACAGATTTCCGCAAAAGCACGCACGCGCCGCCAATTACAGCACCTCTGGGGCCGCTACCAGAATGCAGATGCGCCATCATCAGTCTTCTCGAGTTTTCAGGTTTTGCAATTATTTATTGTTTGGTGTGTTTAGGTTCTGGGGCTGTTCAAAGATTTAGGGGCTTGGGTTTGCTTAGGTCGTGGGCTCCTTAGTACCAGAAAAGCAAATGCTTTGCTGGCTTTGTGTGTGTGGCTTTGTTGCCAACCGCAATTATCCCGAAAGGGAGCCGCAGGGCTGTTATGCAAACTTCAATGCGGGTGAGTGATCTAAAGTCACCACATGGAGCCCAATAGTCCTGCTTCCGCACAGGTAATTCCTCAAGGCGCAAAGGCAAACAGACCACCTGTTGCAACTGGGAGCAATGGATGGGTCACGGTTATTCAATGGAGGTCCGAGGTGGGACCACAACATAGGTCCTGGTCACCGCTGATGGGTGCTCATGGAATGTGCATGAAACACGATGTTTTGCACCTTGGCTCAATTGAAGTGCTTGCTACTTTGTTGCACAGGACTTGGCACGAGCGCCGGCCTCGGGTTGGGCGTGTTTGTTTCCTAGGGCTTCGGGCCCTCGGCGTTCGAAGGCTACGTGATGTTGAACTTATGGGGTCGTCGTTGAATTTGCCTGGGAATATGGGATTTAGGTTGCTTTCGGTTTGGGTTTGGGCAGCTTGTGGGCTTAGGGTTTGCGGCTGTTCATGTTTTGAAAGTTGGGCATGTGTAGTTTTTTCACGGTTTAGAGCTCCGGTGGCTCTTTGGGATTTACGCTTTTGGGGTTGTTTGGGTCTAGAGCTTGGACTTCTTTCAGGTTCATAGCCGGGGGTTGCTTGGGTTCAGGGAACAGGATCTAGGCACTCTTTCCAGTCGGAAGTTGGCGGCTAAATTTTGAGGAATAAGGTTCAAAGTCTAAATCAGGGTGTTGGTTTGGGCTTCTTCATGGTTGAAATATCAGGGTGTTTTTGGGCTAAGGGCTCTCTACGTTTAGGGTTTGGGGGTTCAGGTTTGAGTCATGTGGCTGTTTAAGGTCAAAGGTTATGTTGGACCACTCAATGAATCTGTTGCTATC